ACGAAAAAAAACTCTCAACTTTGAGTGTTAACACTTAAAAAAAACGCTCAAATTTGGGTGTAAACACTTAAAAAGAACGCTCAAATTTGGGTGTAATTTCGGATCGTCAATTGAAGGTTACACTCAATTGAAGGTTACACTCAATTGCAGGTTACACTCAATTGAAGGTTACATTCAATTGAAGGTTAACGCCTTAAAAAAAACCCTCAAAATAACACCGAAATAAAACCCTGAAATTTATAAGTACACTCAAATAAAAGTATGTATGTATAAATACTTTATTCATTCGAGTATTACATCCAGTTGATGGTTAATTTTCAAATTACAATGAAAACGAAAACCAACATATCAAATTGAATGTAATAGTGTCACATGACAGTATTTATACCTTTATTTAATGTGTCTTATTTTTAAATAAGAACACACAACAAATAAACAAAGGTTTATTTATACATATATAGGTACATACTTCCATTTGCGTGTATTATATTCCATTACAAAATTGAAATAACCTGAAAAATGGCGAAAAATTAATTATTAAAAGACTATATATAATTATTCAAAATGATATTTTATTTGAAATATTAAAATCTCATACATGAAACGAAGAAAATCATAAAAGTTTTCATTAATAATCTCAACTTTTACAAAAGAATATTCAAAATATTATTATATGTATAATAAACATATCATTAAAAATATATTATAAATCTCAATAAAATTAAAAGAAATTAAAACATAAAAGTTTTGATTATACCCATCTATCAAATTTAAACTTTCAAAATAATATTATAAAAATGAGATTACGTAAAGATCATATGAAAGTCCATTTTCTTCTCTTTTACATAGTTGCGTGCAACATTTTTGCACTTGTTTGAAACCGCAGTATTAAATAATTCTTCAGCATTTTTTACGTCCTTGAACTGATGTAATATGTAGTCTGTAACAAATGTAAATATAAAATATTGGTACAATTTAAAGGTGATACATATATGTTATAACATTGTAAAAATATATTAGATATTGAAAAGTTTAAATTTCCATATGCATGAAGAATATACAGCTGTTTTATAATTCTCATTTTTAATAAGTATTGTTTAAAATTTGATCGACCAATTTATAATTTAGAAAAACACTTTTTTATAGTTAATTACCTTTCATTGCGAGAAATTTATCATCGGTAGACAATGATTTCTTTTGTGCCAAACCTTCCATTTTATTATTTTTTTTGCCGGTTCTTGATGAACAGGCAATCTCTTGGGTTGAAAATAAATGACTCATCAGGTCGCAAGTCATTTTTCCGACATCTAAGATGCGGATTTTTTTCATTACAGACTTTGGAATCGAAATTCCTCTACCTAAAGGTACTGCATTCTATGTAAAAGATATTCATTAAAGATATATATATATATATATATATATAAATATATATATAACACATAACAAAATTTATATAACAATGCATTAACCCTTATAGAAAAGTATTACTGAAACTACCGGCCAAAATATTATTACTGGCAGTAATTTATTACTGAATATCTTTCAGTAGTTTCAGTAATACTTAGAAAAACATTACTGAAACTACTAAAAGATATTCAGTAATAAATTACTGTAAATTACTGCC